GACAGACAGACAGCGCGGGCGCTAGGAGCATTTGACATAGACCAGGAAGCACGTCCAAATATGTTAATAGCCTCACGTTCTCATGGCGTCACCCCTGCAGGTGTCCCCAAAAGTGGCTTTGAGTACACACTTCTTGCCATCAGACCTCACTGCTTTCCACTCCCAACGTGCAACTCCCGGGACCGCAAGAGCGAGCGAGCCAGGAGCCCGGGAGGAGGACCGGGTGAGAAATCACCCTCGGGCAGGCTCTGCTGCAGAAGCAACCATCCTCCGGCCTGGGACCGCCTCCAGGGCTGCTGCCTCCTGCACAGTCCTGACTCCCAACAGCAGACACAGGCGGCCCAGCTCCAGTACCCCCTGGGGACTGCTGGGGCTACCAAGATTTGAAGGAAAAGGCCAAGGCCCAAGGCCCCCAACCACCGCCCACAAAGAGAACGCACTCACCGGGGAAGGATGAATGCTATTTCCATAGAACCCAGACCCACCATCCCAAGGAAGGGCTGGGCTCGGCCTGCGTGCGGCTGCCTACCCCCCTCCCCACAATGCATAGCCTCAGCAGCACCCAGCTTCCCTCCGCCAACCGCACAGGGGCCCTCCAGCTGTGCAGGGCCCGGGCTGTGATGGAGGGGTGATTTTAGCCCTGCAGGCCCCAGGCAGATGCGGCCTCTTACCCATCTGCACACGGACGTGGGAGCCTGGGCCAAGTGCGGGAGCACAGGCCTGTCCACCCCTGAGCCACAGACACGTCCCCTCCCCCAAGCACACGGCCCAAGGAGGGCACACCAGACAGAGTCCAAACACCAATAGGACATCAGACTAGGAATTTTAACAGCACAGAACACAGAAGCTTCCTTTGTTACCTTCTGACTTGCTTGAGATCCGAATTTCGTTGCCTGAAAAGAAACTCGACGTGGCTTTGGGATCTCCTGTCCCAACGCCGGGCCCCAGGCTGCACCTCTGCAGGGCTGAGACAAAGCTCTGGCCTAAGTCTGTCTGCTGACAGCCACCCACCCCACATAGCTCCTGGAGCACGAGGCCACCAGCTCCCTGTCGGAGGAAGGCCATCGGGAGGGACACCCACACGGCACACGGGCCTGGGGCAGCAGGCCCACCAGGAGGCGGTGGCCACCCCAGCCCTGTCACCTAGGGGCTTTCCCATGGCCCAGACCATACCACCTACTCGGCACCCAGGGCAGTCACACAGCTCGCCCTAGCACGGCACCCCCGCCACTAAGGAAGATTCCAGCTGAAAGACACCTGCACCCCTGTGCTGCACCTTCCAAAGCCAAGGCCACAGAGACAACCAGCAGAGGCTGAAGCACCGGGGCCACAGGGCCTGGGCCCCTCAACGCTGAGCTCCTCCCAGGCTGGGCAGGGCAGGATGCTGGGCACAGTGGCCCACGGGGCCCACGGAGAAGTGTCCACAGAGACTTCACTCCAGCCCAGAGCCTGCCCAGGGCTCTCCCTTCTTGGGGTTACCTTCCTCAGCACGGCCACACTGGCCGGGCAACCTGCTGGACCCCACCCACAGCCTCCTCTCCAGGCTGACATCCCCAGACAGGTTTCTGGCCTGTTCTTTTCCAAGCACAGGCCCACTCTCCACTTGTCCTGACAAGATCCGTAACCCCGTCGCTATGGCAAGGGTGAGAGAAAGGCCGGCTTGCACAAACGCTGCTCTGTGCCCAGCAGCAGAACCTCGAAGGCCGGCAGGACCACTCAGCCTACAGGGGTCACGACGTGCCCCACCTCAAGATGGCACGCATCTCTTAGGGCCGCTGGCCCTCTGCAAACAGTGCCGCCCTGACACGGAGGTGGATGGCCGCTACGGAGCAGAGAACGATGTGGCCCTGAGGTCTGCCGCGGCCTCAGAGGCTCCGGGCCAATGGCGCACAGCCTGGGCCTGGGAATGCTCTCCAGCCGTCGCTTGGAGCCCCTTCAAGACCCTTCTGCACCCCCAGACCCCAGAACAGCCCAGCCTGCCTGGGTCCCACGGGCAGAGCACTGGGGCGGGCTACTCACACCCTCCTTGGCAGCCGAGGCAAACTTGCTCGCTCCAGTGGTGAAACTGCTCCAGCCCTGAAAAGAGAGGCCGCGGTGAGGCTGCGGGGGCGCCTCCCAGGCAGGCTCCATCTGCCACGCCGCCCACCTCTCGGCGGAGGGGCTGCCCGTGTCCGCACCCAACTCCGCAGGAAGGCCGCCCCCACGGGGCCCTGTCCACAGCTGCAGCCCGGCCTCCCATGAAGAACGGGTTCCCACCGCGGGCACGCCTGGACACCACGCACCCGACCGGGGGCCACGGCAGCCGGGACAGCGCCCGCGACTCTGCGGCGCTCCCCCAGCCCTGACCGTCCGGACCTCACGTCGAGCACGTGGCCATGCTTTGGTCTGCTCTCCGCCCCCCACCTCCCCTCAAGGGGCAGGGGCCTGGCACCCAGTCTGTAGAGACGCCTGTTCTCTTTGCCCGAGTTCGAGGCTTCCCCCCGAGCCTCCAAATCCAATCGAGACCGTTTAAAAACATAAATGGCTCACTTAAACCTCAGCTTCCCAACAGAGCCTCCTCCCCCCAAACAACGAGACAACTGCGTTCAGCTTCTTGCGTGAGATCTAAAACGCGGCAGGAGGGAACATGGAAACACGCACGTGCCCCGTACGGGCGGGGGTCTTTTTTTTCGCAGAGAAACTCTCAGGCAGCAGGCTGTCAGCTGGAGGCGTGCCTTTCCGCCCCGGAGCAGTGACCTCGGCTGCCCAGCGCCCCGGCAGGCCTTCCCCAGGCAGCCAAGGGCAGCGGGCACCCTTCCGAGGGTGCTAGAGCCCACACGGCTCAGCTGCCCGCTGTGCCCGGAGCTCTGCCAGGACACAGGGGGACCGGGCAGGTGCCACACAGAAAGTCGTGCTCTGAAGAACCCCTCCCCCGTTCACTGGAAACAAGGATCTCGTAGTCACAGTGAAGAAAGCTTTCTGCGCGTGGGGACCTGAATGCACCAGGCGAATGAACCTGGCTGTAAAGAAAACAGGCCTCCTGCAGAGGGCGGTCCCCGGGGCAAGACGCGGTCCTCACCGAGCACAGGGACGACACGGCACTGCTGAGGAAGTCGTCTTCCCTCCTGGGGGGGGGCACTGTGTTCCCAAACCCGACGTAGCGGTTCTCCTGGGCCCTGACAGGGAGACACAGGCGCAGCCCCACTGCTCCCGACGGCCTCGGGACAAGAGGCCCCCAGACCCCAGACGGAGGTGGGGGACCACCCCCCCCCGAGTATGTGTATCCACAGCGGTTGGGGGGGGGGGAAGGCATGGGGTAGGCTACCCCCTGCTCACTGAAAAAGACCCTCCTGCTGCATTCAGTCGGGGCCCCCGGCCGGACCCACAGCCCGCAGGCAGTTATGGCAAAAAGCGTTGAAGTTATTTTACAGCTCCGGCGACAAAAACTCGTTTACGCGTCAGGTTGCATTCTTTTTTCCTTCTAAATGTTGGGCTTTCTCTCCACTCCAAACTGTGCTTCAAACCTGGGCTGGCCCAGGGACAGCAGTTCAGGACCCGCAACTGCACGCAGACCCTGCACACAGCAATGGGCCCCAGCGCACGGCCGGGGGACAGTCCCGCCCGGAGGGACCCCACCCAGAGCCATCCAGCCACCAAACCCCTTGCTGCCCGCGGCCTCACCCCTGGTAGGAGCCGAGATCGCCATTCAGCCAGTCTTCAAACGCCTTGTCTGAGGAGCCGGTGGAGCTCTGTGGGTGGCCAGAGGCCCTGAAATGGGAGAGTCAAAGTTCAATGAGGCGGAGGGAGGTCGGGCAGGTGCCTGAGGGAACCAGGTGGGTCTCTGGGAGGTGCTATCTCTCCACCAGGTCACACTGGGCTCCTCCAAGAATGGAGCACCTGAGGCCAGCTGGCCTCCAGCTCTGTCCCAAAGGCAGCTCAGGCTCGGTGGCCGAGGCTGGCGACAAGCAAGCAGATACACTGTAGCCCCAGCTGGGGCCGCAAAGGGACCCCGAGAGCAGCTCCATCCTGCCCATGCCGGCAGGGAAGCAGCCCAGAGACTGGTGAGACTGAGGCTGAAGCAAGCACCCCAGCAGTGGCAGTGGGGGGGTGGCCTGGGCACCCCCAGTGCAAACAGGGAGCCTTCTCTAGACCGGCCACCCCAGAACAACGCCTCGGCCGTGCAGGAGGACACGGGATGTGCTGTGGGGACCAGCCTGACCACAGCATAGCTGCACTCGGGGGGGCGGGCCACCCTCCGAGAGGACAAAGGCTGCTTCCCAGAGATGCACACGTGTCACGGGCGTCTGGAAGAGCCTGCACTGAACGGGCCCTTGGGAGGTGGGGAGGTACCAGCTTCTACCTCAGGCACAACTTTACGCTTGCATTTCTACCGAAAGCCTGTGTTGCTTCGGCAACCTAGAACATTCTCTTTCCCGCTGACTTTTGGGCGTGTCTCACAACATGAGCCGTCACCGCAACAGTAAGGGGATCCTGAGCTAAGATCAGGGCCGAGAATAGCGCGGAGCCAGATAAGAGGAGCAGCTACCGGTGGGCAGTGGTTGCCAGCGCCTTGGGCTGGGGTGGGGTCCAGTTCTGGGCAGGCGAGGACTCCAGAGACCATTCTCTGCCTTCAGCTAGGGCGGACACCTGCCAAGGGGGCACAGGGATCAGAGAGCCTGCGACTGCCAGGAGGGACCGGCGACATCACCCGCTCCAGCATATCCTGCTCCCAGCCCCTCCCAGGCTCAGCGGCCACGGGCTGGGGCCACCCTGACACACGTCAACAGCAAGACCGACTGGGTCTCACGCTGGCTGCAGTGAACAGCGGTGCCGGTGAGTTCCCAGGCAGCGGCTCCAACCCCCAGTGACATGGTTCCTCCGGCAGGCGTGGCCGTCCTGGGATGGTGTGGCCACCACAGAGATGTGGGAACACGATGCTCCCCCAGAGGGTGTGGGGAAGGCCTGTCCTTACCCCTACCAACTACACACCACCCGCCCCCGAGCGGGACGAGGCGGCCCGCGTGTCCTGTCCGCAGGTGTATCAGGGTCCACAGAAGAATGCCAACGCCCAGACAACAGCCAGCAGGCAGGCCCCTGGCACGGCTGGTCAGCCTGTCCCCACCTTGTCCCTGAAGAGGGCTGCGGCCTTGCTGTTGTACTTCTCCTGCAGGGACCAGCACGGGTCATAGTCCTCCTGAGACTCCAGGAACTCTCGGAACTTTGCGTTCCCCCCAGCTCTCATCTTCTCGAGCTCCGCGTCCTTCCATTTGTCCATGGTAACAGAGCGCACAAAGCTAGAAGCCGGGCACCGATCTAGTTAGCAGCACTGGGTGCCCAGGAGCCACCCCCCATGCCCACCCCAACCAGGGCGTGGACATGACACTTGAGCTCCCCCGGGGCGGAAGCCTGGCCGCGATGCCCCAGAGGGCACGCAGAGCCAGCAAGGTGGCAAGTGTTGCTCCATCATCCCACACCCAGCAGTGGGCCCTCGACCGCGGCCGAGGATCCCCGTGGAGCCGGGGGTGTTGGGGGGAGCAGGGCACTGACCTGAGGTGCACCCCAAGCCCGCGGTGCTTCCCCGAGCACTCCAGGCAGATCCAGATGCCATAGGTCACGCTCACCCACTGGGGGTTGAATGCTCCACACTCAAAACACACCTGCAGAGAAACCACACGCGACTCACCCAGGCACGCAGAGCAGAGCCCAGGGACCCCAAAGGCCCCACAGGTGCCCCCAAGAGGGAGCGGGGGAGAGGCTGACTCAAGACCAGCAGCCACAGGGCGAGCTTTGAGGCTACAGGTCGCTTCTGAGAGGTTTGCTGAAGCTCAAAGCACCGAAGCAAAGCAGATGCTTACGTTGTTTTCATCTTGGGCTCTGACTTCTTTAAGAACTTTCCTGGTCCGTGGGCTGGCCATGGTGCTGAAAGGAGAGAAGAAACTTTAAAAACTTACAAACAGGTTACTTTACGAGAAGACCAAGTAGGGCAAAGACACCATAACACACAGCTTCAAAGAAACCCTGCTGAGCTGCCTGGAAGCTCTGGGCAACACCCCTAACCTACTACAGGCAGCGTCGGGGAACCGCTCACACAAGGAAACTGTCCCCCACACTTGAAGAGAAACCTACAGCAGTCTGCATGTTCCCAGGCCAAAAGCAATGTGACTATGGAGAACAACGTAATTAGCAGCGTCCGCTTTGCTTAAGCATCACGCACCACCGAGGCTCTGCAAACTATACAACATCCCGTCTTGAGAAAGTCCGTATCGAGGGCCGGTCTTTATAAAATGTACACAGACTGGCCGCTAAATCTGACCGCCCGTCCGAAGGCCAACACACCAGACGTGGGCCAATAATCACGGAAGACGGGGAGCCCCAGGTTCTCTGCGCATCACACCTTCCGCTCCCCAGCGGGCAGCGTGGGGCAGAAGTGGGAGCCCTAACTGATGTGCGGAGAGGCTGACCTGTGGGAGGGTCTACAGGTAGGTCCTCTGTAGGGCCATTGTGATGGAGGTGACCGGTGGCATGACCACGGCAGGACAGACCTGCCACCCTGCCTCACGGGGACGCTGTCGGGAACAACAGCCACATAACTCAGGCTGAAGAGCGGAACCAACTCCGTACGGATCTTCTAGCTTTGGCAAAGTTCAAGTTCAACCCCTGGCCCGCTGAATTCATGACCAGGACCACTGACATAATAAGATTCGAGCCAGGAGCCAGCACAGCGCTGGACATAAAGCAACACCGTGGTTCTGCACACACCACGACCACTTGGCTGTGGGCCCCAGGCCACCTCTCCGCCGCCTGGACAGACTGACGGTGTGGCTGCCGCCTTCTATCGACGTGCAGCCTACACAACCCAGGAGGAGCTTCTCTGCCCCGTATCTCACCTTTAACCTTAGTACGCAGAACTAAGTCACAGACGGGAACGCCGACTCTCCACCCAACTGACCTTTCTAAATCTGGAAGGCCACAACTTTGATGTTCCCGCTCTGAGGCTCGTTGAAGCAAGCAAGAAATGAACAGTTGTTTCTGGTTTTCGATAATTGACAGAAACAAAACCCAGAGTTCACCCAAGGCTCCTCTGTGCTCTGCGGCTTTCTGTGCCGCGTGTGACAGTCTACCGAAAGCATCAGATCTTGAGGGCAAACACCTGAATCCATAATCTGGGCCAGACTCATTCAAATGGAATACTGCTGTCACACTGAGCACCTAGGCCACAGCACGGCATAGATGGGTAAGGGCACAGACACATAAGCGCACACTCTTGGAGAGACATCCTGCCGGGTCTGAGTCACAAAGCCCTCTCCACACGTTCGTCTTGTGGCGGCCACTGGGGAAGCCCATGCAAGCTGGTGTGTGGGGCTGACATGCGTCCCTGCCCGATCAGGTCTCCATACTCAGCCCTGTGCTCTTTCCTGAGGACTGTAGCTTCCCTCAGGGGTTCACATTCTGGTCAAGAGGGCACAGGCAAACAAAAGCCAGAACGGGGCTGAGCTTGCTCTGAATGGGAAACTGTGTAAAATAAAATTGGGCAGAGCAACTGTTTGCAGAACTAGCAGAAAGGTAACATGTGGAAGCTAAAAGACTTGATTTGGGTTTAAAAGGAACTCCCCTTGGTGACCCGTTTGGAGGTGAGCATCCTTTAGCCCTGGGAGATGCTAACTCTGATGCATGAAAACACCTCCTAACTTTCAAAACCATAAATAAGATTTATCCTGAGAAACAACCCAAAAAATCCTTAATGCTTGAAACCCAGATGGTAAAATGCAGCTTTCTGCAGGTGGACATAACTTCAGGAAACACTGAACCAAACGAGGACACCTTTTCTTGGTTCATCAGGTAAGCCACTTGCTAACTGCTGAAAGCTGAGTCCTTAAGTTGGGACTTTCTCCACGTCTACCATTAAAAGTAGCTGAGGACGCTGCTCAGTGTCCAAGGCGCTTACACAGGTGACCAGGAGAAACAGAAAGCGCCCGAAGCACCCCTGT